GAAGGTAAACAGCAATGCTTTCTGGAAATCCTGAACAAAGACATTGTTAGTATTGTTTCATGTATAGCCCCAAATATTACAAAGCTACATTAATGGACTGATAAAACAAGCTCCGCTCCATGAAATATTCCACAGGGTATGATGTTTTGTACAATTTGTGGAAATTGGGTTCACTGTGGTTATTTATTGGGTTATTTATGGGGTGTTTCACCTTTTTTCACGTAAACATAATTTCGTTGTTTTCTATAACAGTGACAATAAAATCTTGAATCTTGAAACATTCAGTTTAAACAATATCTCAAAGCAGAAATTTTCAGACATTTTAGTACATACATACCCCTTTTAAGTCACTTTGAATATTATAAGACTATAAATGTTGTTATTCCATTGGGCCTTTCTGTGTTTTTAGTCCCTCCGATCATCATCAGTACTTGGATAGAAGAAATGTCTTACCCAGTGACACCATGGCAGTATGCATTGACACTAATTGGAGCATGAATTAATCCATCAACCTTCAGGTTGGAAGGAGAACGCTTTAACCTGTTAGCCAAGTACATATAGGAACAAACATAACTTGAAAATTGTCATACTAAATGGACAGATGTTACGCTTGTACTGGTTTGGTCTTGGTTTCAGGGACGGTTTAGTCGTGATGTACACTTGAATTAGTCTCGTTACAGTCCTGGTTTAGTCTCAGTTAAGTTAGTTAGTTAGCTGCCATAGCCAAAATTATTTCACCTACAGGTAAAAATACTCAATAAACATGCTACAAATGATAACAATAACATCATGTGACTGGCATAGTAATACCATAACATTGCATAAAATTGTCCTCTCTATAGTTAGACCACTCCCCCCTCACTGGTTTGTTTCTGTCCTGTTTGGCCCTGATCCAGTCCTGGTCCATGTCCGAAGTCTTGAGATTCCTTCAGTGGGTGATAATGTGAAGAGGAGGCAGCTCACACCCCAGTCACAGCAGCACAAGAAGATTTACGACAATATAAAACTAACACAGAGTTTAAATGACCACCACAAATCAAGTTTTAATCTGTATATCTTTTAATAAATATAATAAAGACTTTTAATTACAACTACAAAGAGTTTAATTTTAGATATTGAAGTTATAGTTATTGTATGAGGAGGGTTTACTTATTTTACTTAATGTACTTACTTACTTAGGACACCCATAGTTTTCTCTTCTTGCTCTTCTGTGACACCAGGATCAGTTTTCAGGCCGACGTAGCTTTTGATCGGTTTAAAACTGATAAAAAACAGAACTAATTCATTTTAAACATTTTGCCTTGGTCCAGTTATTCCTCACTTACCTTAAACATTCCAAGGTTCCTAATTATTCACGTTGATGAGTTCATCATTTTCAGCTAACAACAACTAGCATGCTAATTGTGCACTTCCTGATTCTCAGACAAGACTTCAGAAATAAATGCAGACAGTACACAACTGACTTATTTTCACTTTAAGAGCTGAGTATATTTGTACTGGTGTAAGAGAAATACACAAAAAAAATTGTGTACAGGGCCTTTAAGTTTCATATTGCACTCAGTCACTGTGTTTGTGTCAGTGTGAATTTGGAGGGAAAAATGGAAATGAAAGAGACCCCTCATTGGTTTGTTTACAGGGAGAGGATGTTTTGAGTGTCCAGACTTACTTTCAGCCAACTGCAGCTCACTGAACCAACTGACAAATATCCCAGTACCACAGTGTGTCTATATAATGTTAGAGATTGCAAAACATATCCAAAAGTATTCAGCTAAACCTGAGTAGTACATTTACTATAGTTTTACTAAATCTGTCAAGTTTAAGGGTCTTTTGATTGTCTCAAATCAATGTTTATGACTTGACCAATACAAATATCTGTCTTTAATTGTTTCAGGTAAAGGCCCACTATGCAACTTTTCAGACAGAGGGTCCACCACCTAATTGTCTCCATGGAGATGTTAGTGCTTTGACTGAAATGTTTTACAATGTCTATTAAATATTAAGCAAATAACAGGTATTTTTATAACTCAAAAATACCTTAAAAACATGCATTCTCATTGTCAGCATAGTTGCCTCTCCACAGATCTGACATGTAATTGGTCTTGTAGCGTCACTTGCTTGCTTCTTTGGAAATGGATATGTTTAATGCCGTGCTGTAGAAAATCCCAGGCAAAAGAAAAACATCTCCATGGAAACAAGCCTTTGGCGGGCCCTCCACCAGGAAAGTTTCACATTGCATCTTTAAGGTTAATGTACATTTAAATGTAAAGTATTTATTGAAATTTGTCCTCTGAGTTGTAAATGCAAGATCTTGGTTTGTTCAGGAATATCAACAGGTTATTGTTGTTGCTGTTGTGAATATGTAGGTTGTACTCAAATTCAAACTCAAAGCATACACATTTAAAGTAGTTTAATGTACAGAGATTTCCATATAACTTTCTGTGTTTCGTCTCTTGCACACAGATGCTTTTTAAATCTCATCATGTGCAGTGAGCCAAAACATTGTCTATTTACGACTACTCCGTGTGCAAACTGAGCTATCTGTTTAGGGGGAACCTCAAACCTTAATTTAGATTTGTCTCAGTTTAAGCGCTGATAATGTGCAGCTCAGTTTGTAATTACATTTTAAAAGTAGCTGTCCTGTGTTGCTGCGTCCTAAATAAACAGGATTGCTAGGCAGCGGACCACTTCCTAACACAAATACACAGCTGGTACGGGCCAGGGCCTCCTCCTAAATCACAGGCTGTTCTTCTGCGGGCTCTCCTCGGGTCTACTTGGGTGCTCCTCTTATGTAAGACACTTTACAGGCAAATGAAACGGCTTCCTTTGCCATTGTTTAACATGACAAGTTTAGTAGGATGCTGTATCAATGACTTTCCAAAAACAGTTTGTACAGAGGAAGCATTTTAGACATTGTTCATTTGCCAATTTGACAGCAAGCAAGTAAGTAATACAGGTTTCCTTGACAATCTATCAATAATGTGTTATCTTTATGCTGGTATATATTTGAAACTATGTGCAACAATCAATTTTATATGCAGTACAGTGTCAGAATGTTTTTTTCATGTAAGAGTTCATAAGCAAAACAGTGCTAAGTGCTATTTGAAAAAAAAAAAAAAATGTTGCAAGTTATTTATTATCTAGAAGCATTGTCAAAAGCCAACTCTAAACTTTTGTATCCAGCTATCATCAATAATGCTAGTGTACTGAGAAAAACAACAAACTTTCTGACTAAAACATTCTTTTATTTTTTACTATTTATAATTCACCATGAAAGAGACACCCCTGCGCTCTATCCGTATCTAATTGCAAAACGTTTTATCAGTCACAAACATGGAGGAAAGACCTGATCAGTAATGGGAAGAATTCTGAATAAGAAGAACAGCTGAATTAAAAATACTTAGAATACTCTTATACTGAAATGCATTATATTAGAAAAAAGACTCACAACAGATCATTCCAAACAGCTTTAGTTTTTATTTGCTATGTATTAATGTATGTCTAATTAGAGATTTAAAAAAAAAAAAGTAACTATACACACATATATACAAATTTAGTACTCAGAATATGTTCAGAATACATATTGCTTTTGCTTCACTGTCTGGGAAAAACTGCATGTGAATAGTAACGATGTGCGAAAGGGTTTGTGACCTGCCTACGACTTCAGTTTAAAAAATCATCTTTAAGGTTCATTGGTTCTTTATTGATTATGCAGCCAAAGCTTACGTGTTTTGTGAACTTAAAACAATGGATGTTTTTCACCAAATTCACTCCTTCATTCAAGCCAAACCATATTTAGACTTTACAAATGGAGCCTTGTAATTTCTCCTGCTCTTTTGCGTCATTCTCCTAGCTACCTCCTCCTCCTCCCTGACCTGAACTCCTTCCCTCCTTCACTGTGGCGGTCTCGCAGTAGTCCCTCTCGTCTTGGGTTACCCGCTGTGGCTTGGGGCCCAGTGCATTGTGGGTGGCTGAGGTCATCGTCCCGTCAGCGGCACCTCCAAAAGCCTGACAGAGCTTTCCAACCCCAAAATCACTTCTGTTCTGCTCTTCACCGGGATTAGCTTCCAGATAAAGATCACAGTTTAAAAGTTCCTTCATTCCGATTGGTGGAGGTCTGATGTAGCTTCATCGACCCTGATCATTGGGTTAGGCCTGTCTCAAAACCAAATCACAAATCACAGAAATGGGCTCCGTAGGTGGCTAACGTGGCTAGCGCTCACTGTGGCGTCAAACATTTGGGGAAGTTTTGACGTTGGTTGATTTAGGAAGTGCATTCGGGGCGCTGGTCGTAAACTGAAGATGAAAAGATTAGAGCCGACTAAAAGGGACATTGTTTTAAAAGGGTCTGAACTCTGCAGGACCTTACGTTTATTTTGAGTGACTGACCGCAGCACCGAGAGAGAGTCTGATGAGGGAGAGAGAGAATGAGCAAAAGAGAGAGAGACAAAGAGGGAGAGGAAAAGAGAGTTGAGACAAAGTCAAATTAAGGCTTCTGAATGAATTTATGCCATAAGTCATTTCATTGTGATTATATGAGCAATATATCTTGTTTCATATATTTTTTTATATTTTTCATTTTGTGTTTGTGATACCTTGGGAGTCCTGTTTTATTAAAAATACACAAATTAATCATAATCATATAGATCATCAAAATCTGTTGACATGATTTGAACATCTTCATTCTAGTATTCCCTACTGTGATTTTAGACCTCAATATAAACATTTATTTTCAAAACTGGATGGTAATCAGGGCACATAATAATATATAATTTATTTTTCAAGCCAACAACAAAATGTATATTGTGCAAAAGCAAGTTTATACATTTGATGTATACAGAGAAGTACTAATAGTTTCCAGTTACTCCCAAAACTCTAGCTTACTCTAAACCCTTATATTGGTTAACTATATTAATTGACCACAGCTTAAACGACTACAGCAGTGATATTATTCCTTCAGTATCCCTGGCTCATTCGTACCTTTCTTCCGTCTCGCCCCTCAGCTCCACGGGTACATGGAGAGCGAGCCCCTGACCCTGCAGCTGTTCATTGGCACCGCAGACGATCGTTTGCTCCGCCCGCACGCCTTCTACCAGGTCCACCGCATCACCGGCAAAACCGTGTCAACCCCGAGTCACGAAGCTCTGCACAACAACACCAAAGTCCTGGAGATCCCTCTGCTGCCCGAGAACAACATGAGGGCCATGTGAGTGCTACACAGGCAACAGAACAGCCAATACGTTTTAGTGGAAGTGATACAGTTGTAGATATGTAGAAGGGTGAATATATGTGAAAAAGTTAGTTCTTGTCAGTTTTATTGCTTTGTCTAGATTTTTTTTAAACAATATAGCATTAAGATTGTCAGTCTCCGTGAAGATGAACAGATGATGCCACCAACTTTACAGGTCAGATCCGTGTAGAACAGTCCACGCTCACACTAAGAATGCATGTTTTTGAAAGGTATTTTTTTTGCAATAAATACGTATGTAACTGAATAAATGCAAGGTAAGTGTAATGCCTTATTGTGGAACATTTTGAGCAGAGCAGTAATAGAGTACCCTCCTCCAAAAAAGTTACACTGTCTAAATCTGAAACCTTTATTAGTCCCTTGAAGAGTCATTTGTTGTAGCTACGGCGAACCCAACAGACACAGTCATAACAAGTACAAAAGTATATGTTAACATGATAAAATTAAAGGTGCATTGTGTAACTTTACTGGTATAGGCTCTGCCAGATTCTTTTCTCCATGGAGATTCTTATTGCTTTGTCTGGAATGTTTCATAGTATGGCATTAAACCTTTCTATCTTCATGGAGACCAAATCAGACCAAGTTACAGGTCAGATCTCTGGAGAGGCGACCCCTCTCACAGTCACACATGCTTTTGTAGGTATTTTTGAGCTATAAAACTACCTGTAACTGAATAAATGTAAGGTTGAGCTGTTTAATGTCATACGGTGGAACATTCCAGGCAGAACAATGGCATATCTGTAGAAACAAGCAAATGACCACCACCAGAAAAGTTACACAATGCACCTTTAAAGTAACTCTTAAGAGAAATCTCAGACAGAGTTCAAGAATCGAATCGCAGATGGTATAAAGGAGATAGACTAGTGATTATTTCTAATGAAGAGCATCTGATCTTTCTGTTTCCCTTCACCTCTCTCTATGCTCCTTCCCTCTTACCTCTCCCCTCTCCCTCCCCTCTTCTCTCTCCTCTTCATCCCTATACCCTCCTCTCTCCCTCACTCCCCTCTTATCTCCCCCTCTCTATTCCTTCTCCTCTTTCTCCTTCTCCTCTCTCTTTTCACTCCTCTTCTCCCTCTACTCCTCGCTACTGGAGCTGTTTGGGTTTCCTCTGCGTTGGCCCAGGATCCACTCTGAGCTTTTATAAGGCTGAGAGATCAGATTTCACCAGGAGCTACAGCAGCGTCCCGGGACAGTGTCTGGCCTGGTGCTGCTTAGATCAGCACTTTCTCTGCTTTAATGGATATAACACATAAGCTTTGTGTTAGCTTGTGTTAGCTTTTTGTTAGCGGGACCACGGGCTCCTCTCGCTCCCCTCGCACGCACCGGAACGTCCTGTACAAGAACTGAAGAGAGATGAGACATTTAGAGACATTTTATAAGCAGGAGCAGGAAGAGTTAGAATGAAATATTTTTAGTAAGTCTGCACAGATGTACACGGACATTACTTGGTTGGTTTGTTGATTATTCTTTCAGATCAAAGTTTTAAAAAGTAAGGTTAAGGTTTATGTCTCCATGGAGATTGAAAAGACACACAATAAGGCATTAATCTTTGCATAAATTCTTACTGTCCCCGGGGTTACCGCTCTACAGATCAAACTTGGCCTGATAATAAATGGGTTTCAAATAATATTGTACATTTTAAAGGAGCACTGTGTAACTTTTCTGGTGGAGAGTCAGCCACTTCTCCACAAGAGAAAAATAGGCTTGATGCCATATTATGGAACGTTCCAGGCAAAGCGAAAAATACAAACAAAACAAAAATACAACAAGTTACACAGTGCTCCTTTAAAATTTACATTATTATTTGTGACCTATTTATCCACAGTTTTCATAAGTATAATTTATTAAGACTGTTGCCATAGTGATTAACTACTTAAAACAAAATATTATATCTGTTGAATGAGAAAATGTCCTCAAAATTTCATATAAAACCGGAAGCCAAAACCCATGAGTAGCTCCCACTCTGTGAATACCCCGCAAGTCATGGTGTGGGTATTACATAAGACTGTTTATATAAAATAACATGGTACGTTTGGTGGATGCCTGCTGCTGGTTCTGGGGTCCTGGGCCAGAGCTGGGCCTGATACAGGAATGTGAGGGAGGAGAGTTTACGTGAACCGGACCAGAGGAATGCCGCTTGAGACCTGTGCCAAAAGGAAAGTCTGAAAACACTCATGAAGGAAGAGAAGAGAGATGTTTAGATACTGGGCTATATGAGGGGTTGGACAAAGTGGTAGGATTCTGTGAGTTACTGAAGTGTAAGACTATATGGAGTGAGTAATTTTGCAAAATGATGACTGAAACCTTGACGCTATCCACCTTATGAATCTCAACAGACACTGCCTGCCCCTGGTACTGGAAGTAAATTTCACTTTAATTTTTCTCATAGATTTTCCAGAACAAAACAAAAAACAAAAACAAAAAAAACATTATCATTTTGAAAGGTTGGTCAGGGTTAATCACCTCTGTGGTAACTAATGACCACAGGATGATAATTTTATTTAAAGTCCTGACTTTATAAACAGCTCAGTTATACAAACATTTTGCTGAATCTTCTGTTTTAAATGTGCTTTTTGGACTTAAACCAATCTTGTTATGGATGTTAGTTACCACATAGCTAGATAGCCTCCACAATGTCTTCAGTTTGAATTTTTCAAAAAGTCAAGGGTAAAATGAATGGAAAATTTCCGACTTCGAAATGGGAGGGACTGTTGAACTCCATTCCTCCTCACCCACTTTTAATTCTTACTGCTACTGACCTGCACTCTGTTAGTATTGGCACTTATGGTTTAGGTGGAATCCCGTTCATTTCAGTGGAGAACTAGAGAAAAGTTTGCCACTAAAATGTTATGTAAAGTAGGTTGATTTGTGTAAAATGTATAAAGTCCACAATCACCAACAAGTTCTCTCTCCAGGTGCCATAAAAACTATTTTGAAATATATGGTTATTATAAAATGACCATTCTATCACCTATACTAGTGTTACCTCATCCTAGTCTAGTTGTGGGGTTCAGTATATAAAAATATATCAGCAAACAGTTCAGCAGCTCATTGGACTTTCGAATGACCCTAAATCTATATATTTGTCTTTTTCTGAACAGAATTGACTGCGCTGGGATCCTGAAGCTGCGTAACTCAGACATAGAGCTGCGTAAAGGAGAGACGGATATCGGGCGGAAGAACACACGCGTGAGGATGGTCTTCAGAGTCCACATCACCCAGAGCTCCGGGCGCATGGTGTCTCTACAGGCTGCATCCAACCCCATTGAGTGCTGTGAGCAACCACTCTCTGCCATAACATATAATGATAGTGATAATAGGCCAGTATATCTAAACAATCATCTAGTCATTTTGGGAATTACTACATGATTGTGGGAAAAGAATTTCATTTTATATTTAATCTTAGTCCATCACAAAAGCTTAAAGGTCGTATATTAAAATCTAGTTAGAATATTGTTGCCTTCTCAAAAACATACCCTGAGTTGTTTTTTATTTCATTCACACATGTTTGAGTAACCCTTTATTATTAGTCTGTATGTCTCTAAAGCTTAAAATTCTCTGTTCCACTTTGTGATGTCATGTAGTGGTAAGTTTTACTTTTTACTTTTGTTTAGTAGAGATTGTCAATTCCAGGGCTCAGATGATCCAAATGATTCTACTTAAGGTGTGTGGAGTTTAAAAACACAGTGGAGCGCTTCCTGTCATAAGTTGAAACAGAGTGTTTGAGAACCTAAATATGCAACGTTTGTATGCTAAACATGTGTGAATGAAACAAAACACAACTTCAAGTATTTGTGTGAGGAAACAACATTATAACATAAGTCACAAAATAGCATAATATGGGCCCTTTAAAGCTGCAATAAGGAACTTTTCTCATGGTTGTCTAACCTCTGCTTGTCTCCATGGAGATGTATTGCTTTGCCTGGAAAGTTTCGCAGTGTGACATTGAACACATTTATGACACAATCATTTTATTAACTCGCCTCTCCATAGGGCTAACCTGCCACTTGGCGTACTAGTCTCTCTAGAGATTGGTAAGATTAATGCCATATAATGGAACCAAAAAGTTACATAGTGAACTTTGAATATGTTGGCCAAGATATTGTTTAAGTGTATTTATTTATCTTATGAAACAAAACTATCCCACAATTTGCAAATCACTTATTACAATGTGCATTAAGAGAAAGGCCCATATTACAGTATTTTCAGATTTTCTGATGGTATAATTCTTCAACAAAAACAAACCTGGAGTTGTGTTTCGTTTCATTCACACATCTATAACACAAATCCTGCATATTTAGGCTGTGTTCTTCCTTCAACATAAAACACTCTGTTCCACCTTGTAATGTGTGTGATAATACAGAAGTGCTATGCTTGTGTTTTATCATTAGGTTTAGTTCAGCTCTGGAATTGCCCATCTCTACTGAACAAAAGGTACAATGTAGCCGTAAACTTGAAAAATACCGAGTCATGACATCACAAGGTGCAACGGAGCATTTTGAGCTTTGGAAATGTAGACAGACTAATAATAAAGGATAACTCAAGCAAAAACAAAACTCCAGGTATGTTTTTGAGGAGGTAACAACATTCGAGCATGACTAAAAGCTCCCAAGAGTCAGTTTTGCTTAATATAGGGCTTTTAAGAGAAATAAACTGTTCCATTTCACAAAAGAGAATAGATGCCAACATTACCAACGCTCAAACACTTAGATAATCAAATGAAAAGGTTTACAAATACTTACAAACGATTAAACCTTGCCCAAACAGATGTGTAAAACTTTCATAGAGATATAAATCATATAAATCACAGTTACTTTTCATAAACTGTAATGCTTGTTTTTAGTAGCATTATCCAAAAACACTCATAGTTAAAGTCTCTTCAGTTATTGACCCCTTTATTCTTCTGGCCCTCTTTCCTCTGGGCGTCCTACTGGAGGATATGGCTCTGAGCTCTCTGATGAAGTCTGCAGCACCAACTGAAAGACTGTTTAAAAGCATGAGCTCAGCCTCCTCAAATACTCCTTTGTTTGGGTCTGAAAAGCAGCCAGTGAGCGGCAGTCCCCACCAGCATCCATCACTGCCTGTGCAACGGAGCTACAGAGTCACAGCACACCAGGAATAATGCAAGACAACAAAACAGAAGTGGTTGTTATTATCTTATACATGTTCTCAATTAGCTAATTTCAAGCCCCTGTTTTAGACTGGTTTAGTCCCGTTTTATCCAATACTTTCTTCCCAGTTTAATCCTGTTAGGTCCTGGTTTAGTCCTTGTTAGTTCCATAGTTTAGTCCTGGTTTAGTCTGGATTTAGTTATGTTTTAGTCCTGGTTTAATCTTGGTTTAGTCCTGTTTGAGTCTTGATTTATTCCTGCTTGAGCGTTGAATCAGAACTGGTTTAGTCCTGGTTGAGCCTTGGTTTAGTGATGGTTTAATCCTGGTATAGTCTTGGTTTGGTCCTATTTGAGTCTTGGTTTGGTCCTGGTTGAGTCTTGGTTTATTCCTGGTTGAGTTTTGAATCTGAACTGGTTTAGTCCTTGTTGAGCCTTGGTTTAGTGATGGTTTAGTCCTGGTTTCCTTAGTTCTGGTGTAGTCTTGGTTTAGGCCTGGTTTAGTCTTTGTTTAGTTCAGATTTTTTTATGTTCTTTAAGGCAGATAACAAAAATGATAGAACAAGTAGAAGTTGTAGGGATATAGGCTTCAAACAACCCTTATAATGTATTATGTCAAATTATGAGCTTTTGCATTCTTAACTTTTTGTGTTTTTGATGACATCTAGTGTACAGACTATAGCCTACTCAATATTATTATTGTTAACTAGTTTAAATCAGTGTTAACCAGCTTTTGCACAATGCACCTTCAAATACAGTATTTAAAATTATACAAATCATTCTTGACAGTTATAGATTGTTTCAAGGAAAAATAAAAGTTTACAAAGAACAGAGCATTGCCAAAAGGTGAGAGACTGCTGGGACTCACAGTTGTGTTCATAAATCTCACTCTGACTCTAAATAAAACTGCTTTTTAACGTGCAGTAAAAAAAATGGTTCACTGAAAACAAAATATAGTGGTTGGACCAGTTCTATTCCCTCAGCTGCACCCCTCACCGATGGAGCAGAGCCAGAGGAGAGACCCAGGTTGGACTCAAGCCAGAGATTGTATCACGCAGATTTCAAAATAAAAGCATATGTTAAGTGTTTAATATGTGGTACCACTTGAAGACATGGAAGAAAATATCCAAAACTTAAAGGTGCTCTATGTAAGTTTTTGGGGTCTGTCACCTGCTTGTCTCTGTGGATATGTCATTGCTCTGCCTGGAATGTTCCACAATATGACATTAAACAGCTCTACCTCCCTGAAGATAGAAGGGTTTAATGCCATACTGTGAAACATTCCAGACAAAGCAATAACATCTTGGAAAAAAGCATTTGATGTACCTTCCACCAGAAAAGTTACACAATGCACCTTTAAGCACTTATAAACTAGAAAAAATACTCAAATAAATACGACTTGACTTTCTTACTATTACTGCTATTACTTGTATTCATACTCATACTTATACTGTAAATACTGTTTCTTGCTTTTACTTATTACGTCAGATGACATTCCAGCAACAGACTGAGTTAAGTAAATAGTAAATGTGTGTTGCTCAAAGACACATTAACAGCAGATGCTTTCCAGCTATTTAATAACATAGTCTGTGAACTTTTCTATTTCCTTTAATGTTGTTTTCAAAACTAACCACCCATAACTAAACAGCAAATCTTAAAATTACGTAATATTGTGTTATAATGATGAAAAGCTGTAGTTTATTCTCAGCTTGTGCCCGTGTCTGGATGCTCTGGTTTGCCTGGTGGGTTGGTCTAACCTCTTCTCTCTCTTCTTGCCGTCCCTACCACCCTCTCTCTCCCCCTCCACTGTCTTTCCCTCTCTCTCTCCTCTCTCTCTATCTCTCTACTTTTCTTACTCTCTCCTCTCACTCCCTCACTTCCACTCATCTTCTCTTCTCTTTCTCTACCTTCCTCCCCCTCGTTTGTCTCTCTCTCCTCCCGTTCTTTCCTCATCTATCTTTCTCTCTTTCTCTTTCTCTCCCTCTACCCCTCCCTGTCTCCTCACTCTCTCTATATCCTGCTCTCCTTTCTCTCCCTCTCATTTACTCTCTGCCTCCATCTCTCTCTCTCTCTCTCTCTCTCTCTCTCTCTCTCTCCCTCCCTGTCTCTTCTCTCTCCCATTCCTTCACTTTCTCCCTCTCTCCTCCCTCTGTCCTCCCTCCCTCTCTCTCTCTCTCAGCTCAGAGATCGGCACAGGAGTTGCCGTTGGTGGATAAACAGAGCCTGGAGACCTGCCCTGCCTCCGGAGGACTCCCCATGGTCCTAGAGGGACACAACTTCCAGCCCGACTCCAAGGTCATGTTTGTGGAGAAAGCCCAAGGTAAAAATCTGTATTATACACACATGAGTTAAAATGACTTGAATTCAAACTATGTACTATACTGCAATAGTTTTTACAGTTCTTAAATATATTTGTCTATGTTGTGTTGCAAAAGGTTAAAATGAAAGTTTATCTGGTCACCAAAGTTGAGAAATATGCAACACAAAATCTCACAAACAATAAATTCACTTATATTATAATTTACAACTTATTTGACTGAACTTGAAATGAATGAAGATACATTTTAATGCAAGGTGACCAAAACAGCTTAGGGGACTTATCACTTTTAGCTGATTTAACTTCACTGAAGAACAAAATATAATAAGTAAAATATGCCCAATCTCCACTTTAATAATCTGCTTTCAAGTCATTTAAATTCATTTTTAGTAGTGTATATTTGGAGACATCCCTGGACTCTCCTCTCTCCCCCCTCTCCCCTCCTCTCGCTAGCTCTGCCAGAGCCCACATGTGGTCTACATTAATGCACAGTACTGCTGTATTTTTACACCAGTCACATTTGCACAAGTTTCCATTGGCCTTTTGAGTGCGGGCCGATCACAAACACACTGTTTTGGGGTTTTTGGGAGAGGGACAGGCGACTGCTCCCAGATGTGGGGGTTAAAGAGGTTTACAAACAGCAATTTCACTGATTAGCCTCAACGGAGAAACGTGAGCAGCTTAAACACATGGAGTTGGGTCCACAATTCATCACTGTCTATTCAACCAAGCAACATAGATACAAGCAGACAGATCACATAGTTTTAATGGAAGAAATAGGTATGGCTGTACATTTTATATAGTTTAGTTAAAGGTACACTGTGTAACTTCTAGTTAGAGTTCTATACTTGCTTGTCTCCATGGAGATGTTATTTCTTTGCCTAGAATGTTCCGCAGTATGGCATTAAACATATCTCTCTTGCATTTGTTAAATTACAGGTGTTTTATTGCTCAAAAATACAAAAAAAAAAGTTCTTTCCATGCTTGCTTGCTTCTCCATAGATTTGACCATTAACCAGTCTGAACTGTGATTAGTGACTACATTTATTTTTTTTTTACTGTTGAATAATCAAGGGAAAAAAGTAATATCTCCATGGAGACAAACAGATGGCAGACCCTCCACCAGAAATGTTACACGGTGCACTTTAAGAACGGGTTAAAATGAAGTGTTGGATTTGATCTGGATATGTTTTGTAGTTTACTTCTGTTTAGTTCAAGTCCTGGGGTTAGACCTCACTTGGTTCTGGTTTAGTCTTGTTTGGGCTCCAAGGGATAGTCTTGGTTTAGTCCCTATTTGGGGTCTATAATTCTCTAATTGAGTCCTGGTTGCATTCTTGTTTTGGTTTTAGCTCTATAATTAAATCCTGGTTTAGTTCATGTTTGGTTTCCTAGTCTTGGTTTAATTCTACAATTTAGTCCAGGGTTAGTCCAGGTTTAGTCCAGGTTTAGTCTTGGTTTTGTCCTATAATTCAGTCCTAGATCAGTTCATGTTTAGTTCTGACTTAGTTCAAGTTTGGTACGTAATTCTGATTGCTTTGTTCTGGTTTAGTTCTTGTTTAGTCTATTTTGGGATCTGGCATCTCTGTTTAACTGGTTTAGTTCTGCAGTTAAGTCCTGGTTTATTGCTGATGTTGTCTATACTTAAGTCTTGATTTAGTCCTGGTTTAATTCTGGTATAGTGCTGATTTAGTCCATGTTAAGTATTTGTTTACATCTGGTTTAGGCCTACATTTGAGTCCCAATTTAGCTCTGTTTAGTTCTTGTTTCATCCTCTAGTCCAGGTTTGGTTCTTGTCCTATTTACTCCTTGAAGTTTAATCTTGGTTTGTTGCAGTTTCAGCTATTTCAGTGATTAGTCTCAACAAAGTAACATGAGCTGCTGGAACATGTGCACAACGTAAACAGACCCATTCACCGACACTGCAGACTGAGCATTGTGCCCTCATGATACTTTTTGAAGTGCAATATATTGCTATACAAAAATATAACAATTCACACATATTTGAGCAATCCTTTATTATTACTCTGCCTACATTTCCAAAGCTCAAATGGCTCTGTTCCACCTTGTGATGTTATGAAGTGATACTTTTCAAGTTGCTGATACCTTTTACATTTTGTTCCGCGATCATGTAAATGTTTATTCTGCTTTAAAAAAATTCCGGTCGTTCAGCACATGCACGTTGGATCACTTCTGACGCGATGACGCACTGCAATATGGTGAAAAAAGTTTGTATCATGTTTGTGTCCCCGAATTGCTGTTTCCCATTGCATATGTAATTGCGAAAGGTACCGAGGTTCCCAGTTAACACCGCGAGCCGTCCTCATCCCAAGTTATCATCATGAACTCATAAAACAGCAGCATGTGGCCTATAACTTTACACAACTCACCGCAAATCAGCCTGGAGCAGAAGCTCCTAGTCTGTGTAACAGTGGTAAATACACGGTGGCACTCATCATAACACGCAACCCCTCCTTGGTCTTTTGCTGTTCTCCGAGCGAGTTGGTCAGACAGGTCTATAGGCTCTGTCCGCCATGTGCTGGGTCCAGACTGGGACGAGCAAGGCCACTGGATCCATGCAGAGAAAGTGAGAATGCGCTGTGGACTACAGGTCTGGGTGGGCTGCTCCTGTCCTCTGTGCTCCAGGCTGCCAAGGTGGTGCAAAACATCCAGACAGAAGCGTGAATCCCGTTTGGTTCAATCCCGAGCCCACTTGTGTAGGACCTAAGATGGCAACTTCAAGAGGTCCAAAGAGCCCACCAAGAACAACCCCACGTCAACGTTAAACAGACACGGAGACTGAGACAGTTAGAGCAGGTGGTGAACAAGTATGTGCACAGCCTCTACCAGGAGAACAAGAATCTTAAGAGTTTCTCCCAAGAGCAGCAGAGTCTTGCCCTCAGAAACCAAGACAACGTGAAGCAGCATGAAGAACAACTGAAAATGCAGAAGGCAAACAACCACTACTATGTCTATGATGTCTTTGAGGAGCTAAAGTATGCCCACAACACCATAGAGAACTTGAAGGTGGCTAGTATGAAGAATACTCAAAAACTAGAACAGTGTAAACAAGAGAACAGGGCGCTGAAGACTACTCTGCAAGAGGCCATTGTGAAGCGGGAGACCAAAGAGAAGCTTCTGGTCAGCACCCAACAGGAGCTCCAGAAGGCACACAAGGAGAAGCAGGCTCTGAAGAGGAAGGTCACTGCCTTGGAGTCTGTCCTCGTTGAGCAGACACGGTCAGCTGAAGAAGTTTTCCATCTTGAGTCTACCCTTGCAGCAGAGAGACACTCAACAAGCAGCTTCTCACCCTGGAGTCAACGTTTGCAGCAGAGATGCAGGCAGCTGAGGAGACCTGGAACAAACAGGTCCTCATGCTAGATTCTGCTCTCGCTTGAAGAGGCCCTCAACAAGGCACAGGAGCGGGAGGAGAGCCTGAACACTGAGGGCAACAAAGTTCCAAAATTACAAAATGACTTGGACTCACAGAAAATGAGTTTTATAGCTGTGGAAAAATGTCACTCCATCCACAAGGCCACGGTGGAGGAGAACATACTCCACCAAAAAACTATTAAGGAGCTGAACACGGCTTTGAAACACAGTGAGGACAAGAAAACCTCTGCCCTCCTCAGATGTGAAGAGCTGCAGCTGTCCCTGAACAAATTAGATGATCAGCTGCAACAGATCAAAGTCATAGCGGAGGAGCTCCAAGCCGAAGTGGACAAGAAAAACAAGAAGAGGAGGAGGAGGTGGTTTAAGTGGTGGCAGTAAGTCACCCTCCAGTCTGAACCCAACCTCATCATAACCTGTGTATGTGTATCTTGACTTGTTTCCACTGCAGATACTGTAAGTGGCATAAATGAGTTAAGGCACGACACACAGGTCCTGCATTGTAAATAAAGAAGCAAATTAGCTATTTCAAATGACTCTGAATGTTTTTTTTTTTTTTGTTTTTTTTTTTTTTTCAATACAGATTGTTTAGAATCCAGAGCAACAAATGGGAAATAAGCTCTGCTGATATTTTTGGGACACTTTTTATTATTTTCCCTCATCTTTTCAATTTTGAATTTACTACAAACTCACTTATATTTTTATTTTATTTATTTATTTAATAGGGACAGTGCATATTCATGAACATCTACAACATTGCAGTGTAAATATGCCAGATTATAGCAAGACTGCTAATTTCCATCTGTAGTCCCTAGGCAGGTAACACCACAAATTTAAACAAAGCAAAAACAAGTAACGAATCTATACTAAAAGTGTCCACAAGTCTGTTTTTTCTTTAGCCACTCTTTTAAGGAGGACTTGAAGGTGGCAAGAGTTGAAGTATTTTTTTCAGTATGTCAATAAAAGAGCTGTGTAGTCACATTTTGTTCTTCTTGCTTTTCATCTATAACTCAACTATAACTCTTCAGTTAGTCTGGCCCAGGGGAACTGTGGCTACAGACGCCTTCCGCCACCGAAGTGTTTTTCTGTCATAAGATTAATGCATTTTTGTGGAATTTGGAATGAACACTGTGTAATAACATGGAAGCTCTAAGCAATTTTACACGTGCGTTTATTCAATAATCATATGAATGTTTTGCAGTTTAAAATCTAGTAACTGTCTCATTGTCTTGTGAATGTGGATTTGCTGAAACACTTGGGGTCGGATGTGATCCATTCTAAAGCCTGTGAAAGCTTCTGCCACCAATGAGCTAACTCCAAACACTTCCAACTCGACTTCCAACTGTGTTTTCAGGAATTCACTGGAAACAAGTGAACATCTCATAAAAACAGACACAACAGAGTAGAATAGAGCAGCACCAAACTTTGACTTTACAACTTTGAATTTGTTTTTTAGTTCATGCCTGACATGATCAGTATTCCCTGGGGGGTGTGACAAAAACTAAAAAATCCTTAAATTTTTCATTCTCATTACTGTTTATTTTGTACGATCATAAACGATAAATTTTTGTGCCTTCTTCATTTCTATTATTAGTTTGTACTACCATAAACAAAAA